CTCACAATATCACTGCAGTTATATCACTTGTCTTAGACAGCGCTAACTCAAACATTTCTTCATCATTTTTTGCTACAGAATCCAATATTAGCATATCCTGAACATCAAAAAATGACAAATTATAATTCGCAGCTGTGATCTTAAAAACTTAATTTTAAGTTGATCTAATTAACTTACATAATTAAATTCCACACCACTTGTTTGTATCAGTTGTAAAACTTCAGTCCAATCCTTAGCATAACAGGAATTCATTGGCATTCTGCCAGTCTATATACCAAAACATATCAATTGCATGAAACTTAAACTAACTTTGTCCTTAATGTTTAAGTCACATCCATTTTCAATGAGTATTTTAACAATATTCTTGTGTCCATTTTCAGCTGCATAATGAACTGATGTCTTCCCACTCTGTACATAAAAGTAACCCATTCATTAAAAATTAATGTATCTTTTTCCTCTTCATTTCCTCATTCTAATTACATCTCTTTCTGCCCTTTAAACTCTCTTATTTACTACTAACCTTGTCCTGGCAATTAACATCAGCTTTTGCTTTAATCAGTGCATTAGCAACATCAGAGTGTCCTCTTTCACATGAAAGATGAAGAGCAGTCTTGTCGAACTACAAAATCATGTAAAATAATAAATCTCACTTGAACACAAACAAAATTTAAGATACTCACCTCATCCTTAACATTGACAGGGACACCTTTAGAGATAAGAATACTAACATCATCCATCAGACCCTGCTTCGAAGCGTAATGTAGTGCTAATATCTGAAACTATGAAAGTAGTAGGAATAGGAGAGAGAATTAAGAAATTTTGGAGGGGCTAAAATTTGGCGAATTGCTAAATTTTGGTGATTGAAAGATTCAAATTTGGCCAAATTTGTGGCCACATGCCATTGAGCATGCGTATAATGGCTCAAAATGGCAGATCTTTATTTTGGCGAATGGCTATCCAAATGCCAAATTTAATCCCCTCCAAAATTTTCAGTTATACGGTATATTATCATCTTCAGTGCCTAACCTTCTCGTTATCATAGTCTCTCCATCCAGCTTCTAAGAATACTAATACTGCATCAGTACTCCCTCTAGCAATAGCCAGACCCAGTGCAGTCACACCATTCTAATCATAGTAAGCACCATCACTACTTGAACTGTTTAATCATACTTTGTTGAGAATACTTGAATCAACCTTTTCTAATAATGACTTCATGGCTTGTGACATAAGAAAAATCTACAATGAAGAAGAATTCTATTTTACCAATTTTATGACAATTTTTCAAACCATGAAATGTTGGTCATGTAGTAAGAAAATATGTAAGGCTGTATTTCCATCCTAATTAATACAAGAAATGTCATCATTATTTCATTAATATCTTACTTCATCTACTTCATTAGGATCAACACCAGCTTCTAATAATAAAGATGTCACTGCCCTGTTATGTTCAGACACAGCTTCTAAGAGACAAGGTGAACCCTAAAGTTTAATATTATAAGATTAATAATAATAAGTAATTATATAAATAATAATAATAATAATAATAATGATAATAATTAGGCGTAGCCCTTAGTAATGAGTTAATCTAATGATAATTAATCTTCATGATAATGTAGCTAAGAAGCTGAGCTCCTTAATGTTATAAGGGGTTAACAATAGTGATGGGTGGTATTGGTTTCAAAGTATTTGGTTCCACAGTTCCTCTGCTTGATTTGCTGGTACCAAATCCTGAAGTAAAACCAACCAAGGTTTCAGTTCCGGAAGCATAAACATTAATTATTCATTATAACTGTTAATAATCATTAATACCGTAATTGGCTAATTATTATACAAATATTCGAGTAATTAATTAAAATGGCTACAAGTAGGCTATTCCATGCTAGATACTACATGTATTTGGAACTGTACTCGGTACCATCATTACTCTCAGTTGAAGTACTTGGCATCAAACCAAAATGGAAAAATCTGGTACCACCCATCACTAGTTAACAATTGATATATTTTAAGGTTAGGAATTGCTATTATTGTTAGAAACAATTGTTATTGTTATTGTTATTAATTGTTATTGTTATTGTTATTAATTGTTATTGTTATTGTTATTAATTGTTATTGTTATTAATTGTTATTGTTATTAATTGTTATTTGTTATATATTGGCTAACAATAGTAACAATAAACAGGATTACACACGTAAAACATTATCTTACATTGGCACCATTAGCAAGTGCTTGTTTGACACCATCAAGATTCAAGTCGAAAGCAGCCTCTATAAGTGCCTACAATAGCAGGTAATGCACGTGAAACTAAGTACAGTATACTGTATATAGTTACTTCAGTAGCATGATTCTTTAAGTAAGGGACAACTGACTCATGAGCAATCTCAATAACTGACTATATAAATGAAAGAATATCATCAACCACACAAATATGTATACATGACAACACATAGTTACACGATAGTACTGCACAAGCAATGTTTTTATACAACTAACTGGTGATAATTCAGCTCCTGTTTTAAGTAAAAATCTAACAGTATTTACGTGACCATTAGAAGCTGCTAAATGCAGTGGAGTCCATCCATTCTGAGTAGATTGTAATATTAATGGTTATAGAAATTTTATACACATACTTTGTCCTTCAGGCATAGCACAGTTTTGTCTTCGAGTAAAAACTGATTAAAATAACTGCCATTTAATCCTTTCTCAGCAGCAATGTGTACTAGTGTCTTTTCATCCTAAGGGCATAAAGTAAAAGGATAGCCAACAGGAAGTGGTAATATGCAACAGCCAAGACAGATAAATAATTATTAAATTAATGAATTTTATTTACAACCATACATCATTGTAAAAGTATACATCATAAAACTTACACTGTCACGGAATAAAGTAATGTCGATATCAGATATTCCATAAGGTACTTTTCCACTGGCTACATTATTAAACTGTAAAGATATAGCACAATGTGTAACTATTATACCCTTTTCTCCATGCTAAATGATATAAATTAATCACAATAAATTTATCTAACCAGGTTTTCAATATTCTCAAGATGATGAACACAGTGATCCTTTTCCCTTGCAATGTCCAAAGGGGTTTGACCATTCTAAGTAAATAGAAATAGTTATTGTAATAATCAACTATTAACTACTTTAGTCTTTTTATTCACATCTGCTCCAGCCTTTGTGAGAAGGCCAACAATATCATTATGATCATGAATTACTGCCACATGTAAAGCTGTCAGATCGTCCTAATTGAGTAATTAAAACATTCAAGCATTAACAACAAGAGTAAATAACGATCTATTATTAACTCATTTACTCTTGTTAACAATTATATATGTGTAGAGTCGGTAATCTGACTTACTTCTGTATCTGTGCTCATAGTCTTCTCCAATGACACATTATGAAGTATCAACAGTTTGAGAATAACATAATAATTCTTCTCTGCAGCAATATGAATCATTCCCTATAAATTAAATGTAATAATGAAAAAAATTGGGAAAGCAAAAGAGTGAAACTAATTACACATATTAATCAATTGTGTATCATGCATGATATCACATCATTGCCCCAAGTACACAGCCAAGAATTATCATGCTGATACAGTAGTACTGCCCACAGTCAATGAATCAGGTCTGATTATGACTTAAAGTGTAAGTGCAGTGATTTTTTAGGGTATTTATTTTATGGTCTTTATATGATTG